AATTGTCAGGAACTCCATTCCATTCTCCCACATGGGTGACAGGGTCCCGAGTACTTGGCCATCCTCTATTTCCTTCCTAGGCACTCTAATAGGAAGCTGTTAATTAACAGGAAGACATATTAACACATTAACAGAAGCACATCAGCTGATACTTCCAACTGTGCTCCAGTAGGGGTTGCCAAAGTTAATCTACTGTACCACAACACTGGCCCAGACTGAGTATTTTTAGATTCTATATAATTTTATCATTAGAACCTTATCATTATTTAATAATGGAGTGATTAAGGCATTAAGGAATGTATAGGAACCGTACATTCATGATGATCTGCTCCTAATGTTTAACTAGGGATCTTCAAAAAGTTCATGGAAAATGTTTAAGTAAAAACCATGAATGGATTCTTTTAAAAAAGTTGTACCAAAATAAATTTATATTTTAATTTAATTTTCCATAAATTAAAAAATATTTACAAGGAGAGAAGGAGGAATAGGAGGAAAAAGAGATAGAGGGAGAGAGAGAGAGCGAGCAAGAGAGAGAGAGAACATAAATCTTCCATCTGCTGTTTTATTCCCAAATGGTTGCAACAGCAGGAGCTGGGCTGTTCTAAAGCCAGGAGCCAGGAGCTTAAGCCCTGAGTTCAGCATCTGCTGCTTTCCCAAGTGCATTAGCAGGGATCCGCATTGGAAGTGGAGCAGCTGGGTCTTGAACCAGCACCCTTATGGGATGCCGGCTCTGCAGAAGGTAGGTTAATCCTCAATGCCACAGTGCTGGCCCCAATTTTTCCATGAATTTTTGAAGTACTTTCACATAATCAATTTTGTTAGAAAGAAACCACACACAAAAAAAACACATTTTATGTAGTGAAAAATTTCATATTGCAATAATAATTTTATAGGAGGGCAGAGAAGTTAGAAGATGGGAAATGAGGTTTACAGGCAAAATATAGTAAGATAAATATTTTCAGACACCCACAAACATAATGCTGATTTAACATGATTTCAATGACACATTTAGGATTTTTCTTTCTTCTTTCTTTTAAGGGAAAACTTGTCTGAAAATACTTTTGTTGCATTGGGTAACACATTTTCATTTACTTTTCTCAAAATTTAAATAATAGCTAGATGATTAAGCCCATTTTTGAACTATTTGGGGAGAAATACGTGTACCACTTTATTAATCCTATGATATGAATGCAAGAAAGATTAAGTTTGACCATTTGATCTTCAATAATATATGCAAATAGTTAATATAAATAAATCTCTTCACCAGGGGGAAACAGAGTATCATATAAAATTTATAAAAACTCTAGCTGCATTTTTTAAGCATTGTGAAAAGTTTGCAACACAAGTAAGCTGATTACAGGAAAGAGATATTCCTTTTTAACATTTGTTTTTCCAGCAAATGAAGTTCATTGTGCTTAGTAGTGTCTTTCCTGGAAAGCTTCCCAAGCTAAGAGCCAAGCTATTTATCAGTTTGCCAGCGAAATGAACAAAACCACTAATTAAATTGAAGCTGTGAAGATCTATGCATGTTTTACACAGCCATACTAAAAGCACAGGTTGAACTCAACTTTAAACATTTTTAAGATAAATGATAACAGTTTAGATGAATGTCATATTTATTTTCCTTCGGTGTATTCACATCTGAATATAAGTTTTATAATGAACTTATTTATGAAAAAAAGATGTTCTGTGATTATAGATCATGTGTTTATAGCATAACTAATGTGAATGGGGGTTAGTTCCTGAATAATTCTAGCCTTGAAATTTTTAGAAATATCATTTTCTTTTTGAAACATTATCTTCGTTTAATTGAAAGGCAGATATAGAGGAGACACAGACCTTCAGCCAGCTTGCACACTCTTCCAAATGCATGTGGCAGCCAGAGCTAAACAACACTGAACCTAGGAAACCAAAAACCAAGCTGAGTTTCCCATGTGGGGCAGGGACCCAAGTTCTTGAGCCATCACCTGCTACCTCCAGAGTGCACATGCGCAGGAAGCTGCTATATTCATTGGCATCTCATGTATTCCAAGATGGACTATGGGCATCCTATGCAGAATCTTAAATGCACCAAATGTTTGCCTATAGAAATATCTTTTAATTTTTACTCATTTATTTATATATTTTAATCTTAAATGTAATACAACAAGGATCTTCTCAAAATGAAAATTCCTAAGTTCCGTTATTTCCTAAAGGCCATTGATTGGGTTTTGTGTGTGTAATAAACTTAAGTTTCATTTTTCATTAATTGGATATTGCAATTTCCATTAATTTCAACAGTCAATTGTTGGGGGAAAATAACTAGAAAATCTCATGCCTACCCAGATAATGTCACTGCGTGTAATGTAAGGAAATAGTTTCTTTTTTTTTTCTTTTTTTTTTATTTATTTGACAGGTAGAATTATAGACAGTGAGAGAGAGAGACAGAGAGAAAGGTCTTCCTTCCGTTGGTTCACTCCCCTAAATGGCCGCTACGGCCGATGCTGCACTGATCCAAAGCCAGGATCCAGGTGCCTACTCCTGGGCTCACATGCGGGTGCAGACACCCAAGCACTTGGGCCATCCTCTACTGCCCTCCCAGGCCACAGCAGAGAGCTGGACTGGAAGAGGAGCAACAGAGACTAGAACTCGGTGCCCATATGGGATGCCAGTGCTGCAGGCGGAGGATTAATCACGTGAGCCACGCCACCAGACCAAGAAATTGTTTCATTAAATCAAGATGTTATACACAGGGGATTTCCTAAGAGAAAGCCAAAGCAAGAAAAAACTAAGAGATACATCCCATTATCTTCATGTTCTCAGGATAAACATATAGAATTCACAGAACAGGATTTAGCATAACTTGTTACAAATAATTCATCCAGAATTCATTGGATAATTAGAATGACCACCTGAATTTGCCAATCAACTTTATCTAATGGAAAACTGAACATTTCATATCACTTTGACCACATACACCTTTATAGTTGGCACAAGGACTTTGCTGAAATTATTCTCTTCACCTGCAGAGAAGCTGGGTTTCAAAGGAGCTCCATTTGCTGATGATCACCTGTCCCAGGGAGGGTCCCCAATAGGCAGAAAGACAAACACAGGCTGTAGAGTGGTCAAGAAGCTCATTGGGTTCTTTAAGAATTTATCTCCACTCTAAAAGGACATAGCTCTTATAATTACAAATTTTCTAACATAAATGCTTAAAGAAAAAGGAGGGAAAGTATGTTCCTTTATCTTGAAGAGACAGAATTAAGCATCCTAATTTTAATGTGCATTTGCCCTTAAAAACTGCAATTAGAAAAATAATACTTTCCCATTAACAACATAGTAATCAAAAGAAACATGGGCTTCCATCTGACAATGTCTGAAGACCGCTCTGGTCCTTACACTGGGGTGCAGAGTCCACCAGCATGCAGTCAGCTGAGCCCAGGGGCTGAACTTGGCCTCAAGCCAGGCACAGGACAACCCCACCCCCTCAACAAAGAATCATGCAAACTGTAACATCAGCAGAGAAAAGGCTGAACCACTGTATTACAGGTCTTTTTGATTTTCTCCTCTGTGACTTTCTACTTTGCAATTTTCTTCCTGAAATGTCTTTTCCGTATCAATTGTAGAGATTTTAAAATAAGAAAAACTAATGTTTCATGATGTGATGGCAAACATTTTCACAGATTGTTGCTTTGTGATGAGTGTTTTGTCTGATGATTGTTTTGTGTTATTCTTGCCTTTAAAAATGTATTTAAGCATAATTTTCTGCCTCCACAGTTTCTGGATTTTGTGACCATTCAGATCATTTCACCTAGGCTTTATTGAAGTACTTTATTTTGAATTTGCTTATATCATTAGTATATACTCATTTTTCTTTGTAAAAGCTACAATCTCTAAACATCATTGGCTCAGAGTACCAATAGTAATCATTATAACCTGTCATTTCCACTTTGAGTTGAAAAAATAATTTCTCAATTTTTTTCAAGTAAATTTGATGATTAATAATGCATATATTAAATATTAAGCGAGTTAATGCAAATAATTGCATACTTTAGCAAGATCTCTGTATAACAGATTATCTTTTTATTTTCATTCCTACCTAGAGTGCATGGCAGAGTTACTCAATAAATATGTTTTTAAAGATTTATTTTATTTTTTTTTTTGAAAGAACTACAGAGAGAGGTAGAGACAGAGAGAGGTCTTCCATCCACTGGTCCACTCCCAAGATGATCACAACGGCCAGAGCCGCGCCGATCCAAAGCCAGGAGCCAGGAGCTCCTTCCAGGGCTCCAGTGCAGGGGCCCAAGCACTTGGGCCATCTTCTACTGCTTTCCCAGGCCATAGCAGAGAGCTGGATCGGGAGAGGAGCAGCTGAGACTATGTGATGCTGGTGCTTCAGGCCAGGGCTTTAACCTGCTGCGCCAAAGCGCCAGCCCCATCAGTAAATATTTATTTGAGATGAGTATGTTGCATACAGAATTTTTATAAGATATATCATGGATAAATATGTAAATCATGAGGTTGGTGGAGTGCTGCAGCCACTTGCAATGCTGGCATCCATATTTGAGCACTAGTTTGAGTCCCAGCCATTCTGCTTCAGATTCAGCTCCCTACTAATGAAATTGGGAAAGCATTAGATGATGGCCAAAATAGTTGTGTCCCTGCCACCCATCTTAGAGACCAGGATGGAGTTCTTGGCTCCTGTTTTCAAAACTGGACCAGCCCTAGGCATTTCAATCATTTAGGGAGTGAACCAATAGTGAGAATATATGATTCTCTTTGTCTATTTCTCTCTTTCTCTTCCTCTGTCTCTCTGTCCTTCTATCTCTCCCTCTTTATCACTCTGCCTTTAAAATAAACAACTTTTTTTAGTAAAAATATGTGAATCATATTGCAATCCTGTCCTTGGCTTTTTTAGAGCAACGTTCAAATAAATGGCATAGCTTTTCATATATTTTCATGACACTTTTCTACAGGCAGCATCACAGTCTTTTATTTCTGTTTCTATCTTTAATTTGCAGACAATGTACAGCAGATCTCGTCAGTCCCCGTATATGTGCAAATTCTTAATATCAATGATCATGCTCCTGAGTTGTCTCAATACTATGAGACTTACGTTTGTGAAAATGCAGACCCTGGTCAGGTAAGAATCTATAATAATTACTGAAATTGAAACATTGCATCATATTTCCATGTATTATTATGAATATATGTCATATGCATTCACAGATATCATATAATATAATATTTGTGTATTGTGTAATTTATGTAAGTCATTCAATAAAATAGTCAATGTATTCTATTATACAATAATAATTATTCTATATAACATACTTCACATATTATGTATGAGTACTATATAATGCATTACATATAATATTTTGTACTTATTCATTGTATTTTGAAATATTGGAAATATGCATTATTCTAAATATACATAAAATACTTTTAAGCTGTGAATTGAGTATAATAATATAAATTTCTTTTTTATTTAGTAACATGCAAACTTCAAGTTTTCTATTTCTCTCTGTCTCTCTCTCTCACTGTCTAACTCTGTCAAATAAATAAAAAAAATAAAAAAATTAGTTTATTTCATCTTCTACATAGAGTTCTATAAATGCTCCAGGTAGTAAATATACTTACTGAACAAAATTATATATTCAGTGTTCTCAGTTGGGCTTAAGTTACTGGACAGAAGATTTGGGAAAAGAGCAAAATTTTATAAAATGAGGGAATTGAGGTCTGGACATAGTACTAGATGTGTGTGATAAGTATTTCCAAGAGTAAGCTACTTGTCTCTATTAACTATAATGGACTTTCTATCCTAACTCCATAATGTTTTTTAATAATGATTATGGATAAAACGTTCATAATAACTATTCTACTGAAAAGACAGACACATGCATTGCTAGAAGAACTGGCTTCTTTTGGGGTCATTTCAGAGTGTATTTCATATCTTGAGTGCCTGAGTGGAATGTTCATTCTTTTCATAGATCCTGGATGATAAATTAAAACTCAAATATTGGTATATTTGTAGCATCGAGGGATAATAGCCTATTTTGAGAATGAATGTGTTCTACTCATTGCTGACTTCCAGTGACATCATTCTCATAGGAAGCTTTGAGTACAAAGCATAGGTGAATTAATTAGTAGAGGAAGAGTAGACAAAATTTCTTAGTGTACAGTTCTCTGACATACGTTCTCAGAGACTTTGCCATTTTCCTAATATCAGCAAGTATTAGTGGAAAACTCAGTAATATGTTATTTAACATTTTTATTGATCTGGTCATAAGTTCACAATTTTATCTTTTTTTAAAATTCTCTTCTTGTTAACATTCTGAATTGCTTTCATTTAAAAACATTACTTGTGCTTTCTAACGTACAGTTTTCTTCAGATTAACCTTTATTTCTGAAATACCTATTGAAAATTTTATTATGTTGCAAAAGTGAATTAAACATTACATAAAGTATATCAATGAATGCTTACTCCACTATATTCACTGACAACAGTATCTACAATAGCCTATATAGGACTCAACCACGTTGAGTGTGTCCCACTTGTACACACACACACACACACACACTATAACAATGTTATTCAGCTATAAGAAATAATGAAATCCTGTATTTACAGCAAATTTAACGGAATGGAAGGCATCCTATTAGGTAAAATAAGCTAGATACAGAGAGACAAAGACTGTGTTTTCTTCCACATATTTGGAAATTTAGAAAAAAAAAACAAATTGAACATAGAATATTAATTACTAGAGGTTTCAGTGGGTAGAACAGTTGTAGGGAGTTTGGGGTTTGAATTGGATAACAAATCATTATTGCTTAAAGCAAATATATTACTTGAAATACCCCAAACATTGTTCAAGCATTAACCCATTTGATTGTGCATTACAAGTCTCAAGTTAATAGAAGAAACTCGAGTCTATATAATTGTTTTAACCCAGGAGCTGATATCAGCATTCAGGCACATAACCATTACTCTCCATTCTCTCTCTCTCTCTCTCTCTCTCTCTCTCTCTCTCTTTCATCTTATATTGACTATATATTATCATTTTACAGTGTCTGTGTCTTATTTTGCATACTTTCTGGATTGTAAGATTTTGTTTTCATATTTTGATACTATACAGGGAAGTTCTCAATAATATTTAATTGAATAAATGACTATGATGTGCTGTCGGAAATCAAGGAATATTTTGTTTCTGTGATTCTCTGTCATAATCCTTTACTACCTAGAAATTCAAACCCTTAATATGGGTAAAATAAGCCATTTTAATAAGGGTAGAAACAATTGTTTGATCAAAAACATCTCTTTCATATGTATTCTTTTAATTTGGCATCCTAATCAGAGTCATACTATCAGGTAAAACATTATTTTTAATGATTTTCATACCATGTTTAAAACTCCGTAATTTCCACCTGGACATGCTCTATAGACCTTTGGCATGAACATGGATTTCACAGGAAAAGTCCATATGGACACATGTGTTGGAATTTTACAGCCATTGGTATGATGGGGGCTCCTAGGGAGTGAGTGTGGACAGAGAATGATGTGTCTAAAGACTGTGGCTTGGAAACTTCAATATCAAGTACATGGGGAAATGAGAAAGCACTAGAAAAATATTGTAATCAGAAATAAAGAAAGTGCCTCTCAATGAAAGAGTTATTACCTGCTTTATTTGCTGATTATAGACCAGGATGCACACTAACATTCCCATTAAAAAGATATTTGGGGTTTACTGGATTATTTATAGCTAAGAAAGGATGTCACCCAGGAAGGAAGGAAAAATAAATGGGAATACAGAAGAAAATGAGATGCAACCATAAGTCCCATAATATTTATGGATTAGTAAAGAAAGAAAAAAAAATACTTCAAAGGAGACTGTTGATACAGGAAGTAAACGAGGTAACTGTTGACACAGACATGCATGGAGATCATTTTTGATTGAGGAAGTGTGAGTAGATTTGTCACGATTGTAGAGAAAATTTTTGATAGTTTACCAAATGATCAAATTTACTCTTTACAAACCATGTCATTGATCAAATAATTAAAATAAATCTATGTGAATGAAATGAGAGTGCAGAACAACATATGAAAATATGTGGAAAGAAATTGCATTGGACACTTACTAAGAGCAGCCAAGGTGATGGCATTCAAGGCAATTGATAGAGGAGAGAGATGCACTCAACTCTATTCAAACAAAAGGCTGGAGAGCTTTAGGTGCTGGATAAAGCTGTGAGAAAATGCTGGGGGATGCGATAGTAGAGAAAAGGTAAATGTGATTTTGGTATCTGTTTTGGGAGCCAGTGTTGCATTGCAGTGGGTTTAGCCACCACTTACTACATTGGTATCCCATATTGGTGTTCTGATTTCAGCCCCAGCTACTCTAATTCCAATCCAGCTTCCTGCTAGTGTGCCTGGGAGGCAACACTTGGGTCTCTGCTACCCATGTGGGTGATAGGGATGGAGTCTCTGGCTCCTGGTTTCAGCTCTAACTGTTGCTGATATTTGAGAAATGAATCAGGGGGTTGACGATATTCTCTCTTTCACTCTCTCTCTCGCTCTCTCTCTCCACTTATTTTTCTGTTACTCTGCCTTTCAAATATGTACACAAATCTGTAAAAAGAAATCTGTGTTTTAAATAACTGCTGACTATTGGAGTTAGGCTCCTGTAATCCACCGGTACTGGCACCTGCGATTCTTAATGATTGTGCTTCCAAGGGTAGCTCCTAGGATCTTGAGAAAGACAGTCCTGGGTTGTAAAAATGGAAAGATTGGTTGAAGATGTATCTATATTACAAGAGGTCAGAGGAAAGAACTTGCAACGGTCAGTTTTCTTAAAGTACATGCTCTAGGAGAAGGGAGGCGAAGGAACAATCTTTACATGGAAGGGAATGACAAGTTAAAATAAAATGGATTCATGTTCCAAACGCGTATGCTCAAAGACAATAAATAATTTTTGATTACATCTTTTTCAAAAAATGAAACGTCTATCTTTGTGATTATAGAAATTCAAAATTATTATATATATGATATATATGGTGTAAAATCATAGACATCAAGTAGAATAATCAATCATTTAAGAACTTTTTTTCATTTTTAAATGTGCATTTATATTTACTTATTTAAAAAGCACGGCAACAGAAAAAGAGAGAGAATCAGGGAGAGAGAGACCTCTTCCATCTCTTGGTTCACTTCTCAATTACCTGCAAGAGCCAGGGATAGATCAGGATGGAGTTAGCAGCAGGAACTTAATCCAGGTCACCCACAGAGATGGCAGGAACTCAAGAATTTGTGGCATCATCTAGTGCCTCCCAATGTGCCTTTGAAAGAATCTGCATCAGAAATGGAGCATCCATGGCTAAAACCAGGCACTTACAACCTGGATAGTGGTATCCCAAGTGGTGACTTAACCTGCTGTGCCACAACATCTGCCCTTCTATAAAAATACTTTAAAGCACCCCTTTCCTTCCAGCAACATTTGGATACTCGCTATCTTTAGCAATGTTGAATTTATAAAGTATATTTGTTGTAAAATCATAAAGACGATAAAACATCCAATTTATATTTAGTAAAACAGAAATATCCATATTCCTGTTATAAAACACGTTGAGATAGTGGTTGTCCTGTTGCATGACTTGTTTCTTTTATCTATCATTTTATATCATTCACTCTCTGATTCCTGATTTGGGAAAATTCACTTGTTATAATTTCATTCTCATAGCCTGAAATTTTGCTCACATGATCAATTTCACCATCCTCTGTAGTCCACATTCTTGATTTCTACTTTTGATATTCATCTTCCAATCCTCAAAAATTGAACCATTGTCTACTGTTAATTATTTTTTCTCTGTTATTATGGAAATAAGAAAATAAGAGAAGCTCTGAACTTTCAACTGTTTTCAGTGAAAGCTAAAATCAGACTAAAATGATAGTGTGCCAATTATCTCTTCAGTCTTTGTAAAAGTTCACGTAATACTTTGAGCAGCACAAACAAGAAACGGTAGAAGAATGATGCAATGGTGAAGATCAATTTCATTATTATATCATCTGTCTATGCTATTAACCAGAAAAGTTTCTTCTTTTATTCTTAAGTTTTTTTTTTGAAAGACAGTGTTTGTTTTTCTTTTTTT